CATGCGCGAGCGGGCCGAGCTCGCGGGCGGCAGTTTCGACTTCGGCCCCGCGCCTGACGGCGGTGCGCGGGTGCATGTGTGGCTGCCGGTCCGCGCGCTGGTGCCACCGCCTGAGGAGAGCGACGCATGAGGCTGCTGATCGTCGACGACCATCCGCTGATGCGCATGGGCATCACCCAGCTCGTGCTGCAGGAATGGCCCGACGCGCACATCGACGAGGCGCCCACCATCGCCGATGCGTTGGCACGCATCGCCGCAGCCCGCCCGGATCTCGTCACGCTGGACCTGTCCCTGCCGGATGCCCGTGGCACCGAAGGCGCGAGCCGGCTGCTGCGCGCCGTGCCCAACGTGCCGCTGCTGGTGCTGAGCCTGAATGCCGAAGCCGCCTACGCGGCGCGGCTGCTGCAGATGGGTGCCTCCGGCTACCTGCCGAAGGATCAGGCGCCCGACGAGCTGCGCGCGGCGCTGCGGCGGCTGTCCGAAGGCGGCCGCTACGTCACCGCGTCGATGGCCGACCACCTGCTGGGCCTGCTCAGCGGCAAGGCGCCCGAGGCTCTGCCGCACGAGCAGCTGTCTGCGCAGGAGCACCGCGTGATGCTGCTGATCGCCTGCCGGGCCAGACGCCGGCTCAGATCGCCGAGGACCATGCACCTGTCGGTCAAGACGGTGGGCAGCTACCGGGCCCGCATCCTGGAGAAGGCGGGCTGGGCCAACAACACCGAGCTGACGAAGTACTGCGTGCAGCACGGGCTGACCACGCTCTGACCTCGCGCTCGCCGCGAGCCGCCTGTAGGCAGATTGCCTACACGTCGTGGCGCCGATGCCGCTGGCGCGCTGCCGACATCGGCCGCTGTCGCCGGCCCGGCCGCAGCGCCACCATGGCGGCCATGAACATCTTTCTCGTCGAAGACTCCGCCTCCATCCGCCGCCTGCTCGTGCGCCGGCTGGACGCCATTCCCGGCATGCGTGTGGTGGGTGAAGCCGCCAGCGAACGCCAGGCGCTAGCGCTGATCCGCTGGACGCAGCCGGACGCCGTGCTGCTGGACCTGTCGCTGACCGAGGGCTCGGGGCTCAGCCTCGTCAGCCAGCTGCGCGCCATCGGCTACGAGGGGCGCATCTCCGTGCTGACCGCCCAGGACGTGGACGCCTACCGGCGCGCTTGCTTCGTCGCGGGGGTCGACGCCTTCTACGACAAGGCCAGCGGCCTGGAGAGCCTGTTCGACGACCTGGTCGTCAGCGCGGCGGCCTTGCCG